CTTTCTAGGTGACTGTCCTGGAGGCTTCAGGGCGTGTGGGTGGAAGAATTGAGACCCATAGAGTTCCTGGAACACAGTTGTACATAGAGTTGGGTGCCATGAGGATCCCCATCAACCACAGGTATGATTGAGAGAAGTGGGGGTGGATGGGGAAGACCAGGATATGGGCTGCTAGCAACAAGGACCTGACCTATGCCAACTCATTTCATAGCTCCACAGCTACCTCGAACCCTCTCCCAGCATCAATGTTCTAATATAGAGAACAGACATAGCTGTACCTGTTGAGGATCACAAAAGATAATTGGGATAGGAGAACACCTGGGAAAGTCAAAAGGCAGTGTGTGAGGCCTGTTAACGATAGAAATATGAACATCCTTGTGGGAGAAAGAGGTGTCTTGTGGGAGCCCACTTCGGGAGGGCCATCCTGAAGGAGTGGGTGAGCAGGAATTAGGAGAATGCAGACTGGAAGACTCATGATACACACAGCCTCCAGGGAGGATAAATCCAGGGGACACTCCCTCTACACATCTTCATAGTATCTCCTGGACCTGGAGGGGCCACACCTAAAAGTCTGAAGGCTTCAAGTCTTGAACAAAGTGAGAGAGATCTCAGCCAGCAAAGAGGGTTTCCTCTTGGTCACATAGACATAGCTTGGCATAGCAACTCAGTGCTAAGTAGCCAGTGTTCCTTCTGTAGAGGGAGGTTAGAGAGGGCCCCAGGGAATCCAGTAGGGGCAGGATGTGAGCACAGGGAGCAGGGAAGACTGGTTGCTTCCTCATCCTGGATCAATCTCTGACTCACTCCACAGGCTCTGTCATGAGTTTATTAGGAAACTGGGGCTGACCCTCAAGGAGTTTTTCCCCTCCAACAACCAGACCTGGGTGCTGATCAATGGAGTACGGCAGCGCACGGGGATTGTGCAGGCTGACCCCAGCCTGCTAGGGTACCCAGTCAGAGCAGATGAGGTGGGGAAGACAGCTGAACAGCTCTTTGATGAAGCATTGAGAAAGGTAAGCCAAAGTAGGAATCAGTGACCTCCATGCAGGCCATCACCTTCTTCAAAGACATCTTGTGCAAAATTTCTAAAGTTTCTCTCTGTGGACCCCAGGCCCATGTGCAGGAGGGCTCCACTAGCTTGGTCTGTCAACCTTGCCTCCCTCCCATGACCTCCCATCTCAGCATTCATTGTGCATTTTCAGATCCCAAAGGTCTTCACATGTACAGATATGTGTAAAGCTAGCTGCCTTTGAGATCATCAAGGCAGATCTAGGTTTAAGGCAGAGAGAGACCTACAAGCTGGACTCTATTTGAATGTACTGTGTGACCCTGGACAAGATGCTTGCCATCTCTCTGTTCCAACTTCTATAAAACAATCATACTGCTAGAGCCTCTCTCCCAGCCTGGTTGTGAAGATTAAGTGAGAAGATGCGTATAAAGTGATCAGAACTTTGCAAGGCATATGGCCAATATTGAATTATAATTGTCATCATTATTGATATGTGGTCAAGGAAGAAAATCAATGATGGGCCCTGTCTGGAATACCTGCATGCCTTCTTCTAACTGAACAATGTTTACTCAGCACTGACAGTGCCTTTTTCTTTCCTGACCTGTGACCCAAAAGGACCTCAGTGTGACAGCTGAGTTCTGGGACATAGCTTCACAGAAGGCCTCTGTCCAGATGCCCTGCCTTTGCTGGAGTGATATCCTGCTAAGCTCAGCATACACTCCATAGCTCTTAGACCTCATCCAGTGTCACTCAACAGCTCAGTAGGACCAAGCCCTTAGGCGTCCACACCATTCACAGTGGCCCCAGAGGCCTGCAGAAATGTCCTCAGACAAGGACAAGGAGATAGACTTCCCCAATTCTGGGGGCTCCAAGGCTGACAGAGAGCCTGGCTCCAGCTTTATACACCTCAGAATATGTGCAAGAGAGGGGATAATGTTTCCATCCTCAAGTGCCCCAATCCAGCTGTAGTACTGAGTGTTGCATTCAGGACTAATATAAAGACACACCCAGGATGAGTGGAAGCAAGTGYCAAGCGTGGAACATGGGGGTATGTGGGAGCAGGGTCTAGGGTGTGTGTGGAACTGACCTTCACTAAAGTGTTCACCCCTCTTCCTTCTTTCATGCCAAGCTGGTGGAGGAGCTGAAGAACAGTAGCTGCAGCCAGATTCTGGAGAAGTATGACTCCTTCTCCACCAAGGTCAGTCCTGAGGCTCCCCTCTAACCACAGCTAAACATGCACCACCCTGTCACAGCTACCCAGAAACCACCCCAGTGGGACGACCCACCCTAGTACTCACTACACTGCACCTTACTTGTTCATCTTTTTTTATAATCTCTCTCCTTTACTCAAATGTAAGCTCCATTAGGACAGGAGAGAGTAGAGAGGAAGGTAGGAAGGGAGGGAAGAAAGAAAATTTTAAAAAAGACCACCCCAAGGACAGCAGTCAAAGGTCAAAGATATAGCAAGTCAGAGCATGCTATTTCAAGGAACTTGCCACCATCACTTGCATTTTTGCAGAGAGTCAAAGGCAGGTAGAGGTATGGGAAAGCCCTCATACAGTTATGTGTTGCTTAATGAGGGGGACAACATCGCAGAAGTGCATCCTTAGATGGTGACATAGTTCAGTAAAAATCATAATGCTTAGTTACACAAAGATGGCTACAATGTCACAAGGCTATATACTTTCTTGGGACCACTGTCCTATACATGGTCCATCATTGATGTACTCATGGCTGTAGTGCAAAAAGAGATGACTGGGGCTGGAGGAATAGCTCAGAGGAAGAACACTTGCCTGACATGTGCTAGGCCCTGGGTTCAATCCTCACACCACACACACACACACACACACACACACACACACACAGCCACAAGGGGAAGGTTTCAGATGTGCCTCATTCGGAGGCTATTGGCATGGAGAAGCTGGAGGCAGTTARCTGGAAARGGAGCATCTATGTGATTGGCTAGGGGAGGACAGTTGGCCTCCAGTGGTTGTTCCYAAGATGGGAGCAAAGGGRGCAAGGGGGGCATAAATTTGGACAGCTGAGGAGGAAGCTGAATGGTTATGAGGAGATCCTAACCATTCATGGCCGACTGCTCCAATAGAGGTGGCAGTTTGCCTTTCTGAACTGGGTGCTTCAGAAGTTGGGTGGGTCAAAGTCCTGTGATGTCTGATCAGCCACCCTGATTGGTGAAACTTTTCCAGCCAGATTTGTCATGTCCAGGACTTGCCTGGRAGAAAGGAGCAGGGGCAAACCACAGGGCACAATCACAGGCCAATGGATATACTAGAAGTAGAAGCTCATAGTCACTTTCTGGTGCAGGGGCCAGGGCAGCCAAGTAATGGGTAGGATAGAGGGTCAGGGCAGGATGAGAAGCAACACTGGGTATTCACCTTCCTCCTGGCTTGGTGTTTTGGGTAGATCAGAGAGGCCAGTCTAGGCCCCATACAGTTACAGATGGACATGAAGACTGGACCTCAGCTTTCCCATCTGTAAAATAGCACTTCTTCAGATTATATAAGAGGATTATACAAGTAAAGGGCTTGGAAGAGGGTCTGTAGGTTAAAATCCATACCAAACATTAGCTATTTGTCCYTGTTATTAGGACTTGGAGACCATTTGGAGCATTGTCCTCAGAGCCCTGTGTGCAAACCAGGCACCTGGGACCCAGCTGAGTGCACTTCTGTCATTCCACCCTGTGCAGTTCTGTTCCTCGTTACCCCCAGGTGGGAGGCAATGGCTCTCATGTCGGCTCCCTGAACATTCTGACCTGGTTGCCTTCTTTCCCTGAACGTGATCCCAGGAGTACCTGATCAAGGTGGGGRACCTGAGTCGTGGGGCAGTGCAGATGATCGGGGACCTGCTGAACACAGACTCTGGCTACTACGAGTCCTTCATAGAMACTCTGCGTGACCAGATCATCTTCTCTCAGGAATCTCGGTGGGAAATGGGGGGAGAGAATGGGCACRGGGTGGCCAGTTACTAGTGAGGACTGGGGTAGAAGGAAGGACAAGATAAATCAGGTGATAACTCCAAGAAAAGTGAGAGTGACAGGAGGGGAGGCAGGTTCTGAGGCAATGCCCCTCAGAACCACCAGAGGGAGGGTGCTTCTTAAACACGGGGCATCACTTCCAAAGTCAATGGACCTTCGCTGAGACCCAAGAACATGCATTTCTGACGTATTCCAGTGACATTGCTTTCTGACTTGGGAGCCCACTTTGAGAACCTCTAGCTAAGGGGCTCTTAGGAGCCAATAGATCTGCTTTACTCTGGCCCTTACCTATTCTTCTGTGACAAAGAGCATGACCTCAGTCCTACTTTAGAGGTTCATGCAAGAGGARCTTGCTATCTCTCAGACCTGAAAGATAATCAGGGCTGCCAAACTCAGACCCTAGTCACCCTGGGTAACTGGCTATGTGATCTGTAGCTAATGAAGATCAAATGAACTGAGATTTACTCTCACCTGGGGTTCTGTGACCCATTTCAGACGAAACAGGTACTGACATTTGCCAGAGGAGAGCTAAGCCTGGGAGAGCCCTGATGGATTACAGACCTCTTCTTTCCCTACCTGCATCCTCCCACTTCTCCTCAGCATTTTTATTCAGAATTAATCAATTTAAATTCAAGCCAACGGCTGCCATAGGGGGAGAGAGGAAGGTGAGGAAGTCTGAAGACAGATCAAGGTCAAATGAAGGTTCTTGGTGGTGTTTAGGCTGCAATATTTAAGGCTACCCTGTGCTGCATTCTGTAAGGACATCATGAAAGGGGTTGAATCCATATGTAAGAATCCTGGGTCTTTGTCAGCCACGAGACCAGGCATCTTCCATGGAGGTGACCACCAAGGGGACCAGAGGAAAGTAACAAAGAATAAGGGGCTATACAGGCTCAGAGGGTTACATTTTTCTGACTGATCAACGCAAAGCCACACCTTTCTCTAGTTCTCTAAAGCTGACATTCTGGCTGCTTTAATCCATTTGCCAACTGTTAAATCTCCCCAACACATGAGTGGTACAGTCCATTAGGGAACTCAGCCTCTGTCCAGTCCAAATGACCTGTCTTCTGAATGCCTTGTCCATCTACCTGTTTCTCTTTCCTTCTTTGCTTGCTCATTCTCAGGTTCCATGAAATCGTTGGAGGCTTTGACCAACTCCCTCAGGCCCTTCATGGTGCCCTCTTGCCAGGGACAGTCTTGTTTCACTCACCAGCAGAGGAAGTAGAGATGTCTGGAGACCATGTCAATGTCACCTTCAGGACAGCTGACCCGCTGCAGCCCAGGTCACGTCTGACTGCCGATTTTGTGGTGGTGGCCAACACTGCAAAGGCTGCCCGGCTCCTCCGTTTTCGGCCACCCCTCTCTCTCAACAAGGAGAATTCACTACGTTCAGTCCACTACACCAGCGCCACCAAAGTGATCCTGGCCTGCACACAGCGTTTCTGGGAGCAAGAAGGCATATTCGGTGGCAAGTCTAGCACCGACCGCCCCGCCCGCTTTATCTACTATCCCAGTCACATCTCCCCCAATGGCACAGGTGTCATCCTGGCTTCCTATACTCTGAGTGATGATTCCATGTTCTTTGCTGCCATGGACGATGCCCAGGTGGTAGATGTCATCTTGGATGACCTAGCTGCTGTCCATGACCGCCCTAAAGAACAGCTCCGGGCCCTGTGCCCCTATTCCATGGTTAAGCACTGGAGCCAAGACCCCTATTCCATGGGAGCGT